AGTTTTAAGATTTTGGGGTTTATAGCTTTGTGATGTTCCTTTGTATTGTGCAGAATGTATTTTACACTTATTTTAAATTGACATTATTTTGGATTACCTTTGTTAATGTAATTAAGAATATATGAAATTTACAAAGTATCATATGAATGTTAATGTTGTTTAATTGTATAAAATTAAAAATATGATAGGAGTATAATGACATTATGATACTTTGCTGAATGAATTGACTGAACGAAATTTCTGACAACGCCACTGCTGGCATCATTGTCTCCCTTTCAGTGACTCACACCCTACTGCTGTAGCGATTCCCTTCCTACTACAAACTCCTTCCACGCAACTCTTTTAAATCCATCTTGAAGGAGCGCTGATTAATCTCCTATGTTTAATACCATCACCTTACCAGGCCCATTTAAGTCTTTCATATTAGCTAGCTAATAGGACTCCTTTAATCATGTCAAAGAAAATTGTTACAATCTGTCATAACATCCAATTCCATTATTAATTTTTAATCAAGCGAAAAGTGTTTTTCAAAATTGTGAAATTAAATAAATAGATTTATGAAAAAAATAAATTATATACCAAGAACATATGTTGATAATTATAATTAAATTTCAACAGAAATACATAAAAAACAATAAAGGGTAAAAAGACAAAACCGAAGCCTGCACGGAAGCAGTTTCCTTAAAACAGATTTCGCCGCCTCATGGGTCGAGTGCTTGAGGAAACCCGGTGCCTGTCTTCTAGGATACGATGGTCAAAACCAGCTACGACAGAAGCACTATCTGTCTAGCTTAGCGAACAAAACAATAGCAACACTCTCTCACAATAGGAACTATCAAGCAAACTGACTTGTAAAATGGAAGCAAAAATTTCTATATAAAAACTTGACAGGAGGGTCTCAATTTATACATGTATAGGGGAGAGAGGAAAAGCCTCCAGCCTTTAAGGCTAGTCATTAAAACACCAAGCATCCATAGCCCCTTTCCACAAAATGAAAAGTATGGATGCCCAAAGGATTCACACCCTTTAGCCAAGAAAGAAGATTTAAATACTCTTTAAAATTCTATTCATGAATCTAACCTCATGAAGCAATTTCTTGGCAATTTCTTATTCAAAACCCAATGATTTTTAGCTTACTTGGACCCAACACAAAAAATAGTTAGGACCCACTTTAATATTTAATTAAAGTCACCACACTTTAATATTAAATTAAAGTCCCCAAAAATTATTTTTTCCAAAAAAAAGTACTTAACATTATTAATTTAATTGCATTGTCCATCCAACTCCAAAGCATACTCTTAACACAAGTCGTAGTCGTGATAAGCCCAACTTATTCCAAGCCAAAAATCTAGGACGGGCTTTTTGCACCCCATCAGCAGTACTATAGCCCTGTTTGGTAGAGCTGTGGGAAAGTGCTTATAGCTTATGCATAAACAGCTTATAGCTTATAACTTTCAGCTTAAGCTGATTTCCAGCTTATTCTTAAAGCATCTTCTGCCCCACTCAAAGAATAAGCTGATTTCTGACTTCCACAAAGCTATAAGTTATAAGCTATAAGCTAAACCAAACACATCAAAATAGCTTAAATTAAGTTAAAAGCTGAAATAAGCTGTAAATAATTTCTGCCAAACAGGCACTATGGGCTTGTGCTTGCTTAACTTGAAGTACAACTTGGGGAAGTTTAACCTAAATGACTTGAGTTTAGTCCGAATGTTAACCCAAATTAAATTTGGACAAGATTTAGGGAGGAGTTTTCACAATCTGAGCAACTCAAATTATACTATTAATATACATAAATTATATATAATAAACATGAATTATTATAATTTACAAAATATTTTACCACCGCTTGATTTCAATCATATTATAATGTAATCTATTTTATTGTTTGGTACACAAAACTAATTTTCTTATGATAATTCATGTTTGTGTTTTTCTTAGATGTATTTTTTTTTTTTTTTCAAAAAGTGAAAATATGTTAATTTAGGACAGTTAAAATAAATTTTATGAGTTTGAATTTAGACAACTTGAGCCAAACCCAAATTTTTTAGGCTAAGATTCAGACTCAGACTTAGGTTTAGGCAAAAGTCGGGCTTTATTAGATTTTCATACATTTTGGACTGAGTCTAAAGAGATGCTCAACCCACCTGAGTTGCAGCTCTAGTTGATGAGTAGTGGACAAAGTTTAAGGGTCTTAAGCAATTTGGGCAGAACAATAAAAAGGGGCACTTTCACATCTTGGTTTTTGTTTTTTTGCAAAACACTTTCACATCTTGGTTGTGGACTCGTGTGGGAGAGAAAGAGTGGTATATCTTCCATGTTAAGGAAGGAATATTATTAGTTTAAAAAAAAAATTAAAATAAAAACAAAATAGAAGGAATATAAGCCATTCAAAATAAATAAATAAATAAAAAGATGTCAAATGCATTAGCACAACTATAATGCAATGGTAGCCGAACGAACTCCTTTTTGAAAGCAACTCCCAAGCCTTCCGGGAAAGAGCAATTTTCATTCTGGTTTTATTATTATTGTGGTGGGCCTATTGACACTCAAAGACTATTTAGCATTTTTGACATTTTAGTGAATAGACATAGTGTTGGTTTGGCATGTCAGATTTTTTGGTTATTTTAGTTATAAAAAGATAAGATAAATTTTTTAACTTAATAAGATAAAACATCTCATTCAAACCATTGTCATTTCATTTTTTCTCTCACAAAAGTCAAAAAAATTAAAAAATCTATCAAAAATAAAATTTTTTAATCTCAAACTAAAATAATCAAAAACTTAAAAACTCAACTCATATTCCAAACGAGACCTATAGCAGTCCTCAAGTCAAGATTCTCCAGTGCAAGAAGTTATTTCATATGTCTGACATATCACATCATGAGCAATGTTCCCGATCAATAAAAATAATAAATTGAGGAAAAAAAGTCCCAACACATGAAAGAATTTTAGAAATTATGCCAATAGCTATCATTTTTTTAAAAAAATTTCATTGATTTGGCACACTATATCAACATGTGGTGCACCAGACCTGCTTAATAATTTTTGTTGTGTGCACTTTAAGTATGTATATTTGGGTTATGTTTGACTAAAATGCATTATTTATTATTCATTCTCAAATTAAAATAGTAATTTTAAGGTTGTGAGCATCTCCAATGCACTAGGTATATAATACTTGTTAGTTAAAACGCATAGTGTGATTCACTTTTTTCAATTCCAATGCACTAGGCATATGATTAGGCATTTTGCCTCAACTCATATTCACTAGCTACATGTAGCTAGCCTTCAACGCTAGGCAAAATGTATTAAATCATTAGGATCATTTCCCTCCATCTTTGTTGTTGACGTGGCATTTTATAAAATTAATAGTATTTGGATAAATAGCTAAAATAAAGAGCATGATTGGAGTAAAAACATAAAACAGTTGATAGGCAAAATAAAATATATACTTTATAGTAATATTCAGATAGGTAAAATGCATTTGTAATGGGAAATTGAAAGGAAATTAAAAACATCATAAAAGAAAATGAAGTAGGAGGCATTTAATTTTCCTTTTTTGGTTGGTGTTTTTTTTTTTATTTTTTTGCATAAAATAATATTTAGAAAATCACCGCACTTTTAAAATTATTTATGAAAAAGCAGTATTATCTTAAATTGAATCTGATTATAACATGGCAATGAGTGTTAGAGTCGGCATAAAAATACTGTCTTCACTACACAATTTCGACTTAGAAAATACTTGAAACCCCACCATTTTTTATCCTCACAATCCTCAATTGATTTGTGGCCACACATTATATTTTTTCTTTTTTTCTTTTCTTTTTTTTTGTTTTTTCTCCGCGCTCTCTCTCCTCCCCTCTTCCCTCGCAAAAGTGTGGGGAGTGCTGAGGTCTGGATCACTTCCCTTTCAACTCACATCTTAAAGATTAGATTTCATTGCGGCTACATTTGGACATTGGACAAAACTCCGACAATGGTGGTGGAGGCATTATTAAAGATATATTTATGTGTGTGTGCGCGTGTGCGAGAATGTTGAAGGAGGGTGAAGTCCAACGGTGGTGGTCGAGATGAACAATGGGGTGTGGAAGCCAAGAGTGGGTGGGGAGATTTAGAAATCTAGAGAGATAGTAGAGTGGAGATCGAGAGGAGAGGAGTTCATCGGCACTGTTGTCGGTGAAAGTGGAGAGTGACGAAAGGTTTTGTGGACTAAAAATGTGATTTATATCATTGTGAAATTACAACCCTTAAAATTGCAGTTTCAAGATGAGATTTTTCAAAAGTGTTGTATTTTGTTAAATAATTTTCAAAAGTGAGCTTAAAAAAAATATTTAAAAAAAACTCTTTTTGGTTGGGTTGGGAAAGTGAGAAAAAATTAATATATAACTGTTAAAAAATCCATTTTTGTATTTAGTTACCTATGAAAATGAACGTATATATATAATTCTACTGCATTTTTTTTTTCCATCAATGAATTCAGGATCCAAAAGACAGCCTAAAATAGCAACATACGTAAGGAGAGATGAGCTTTCTTGGTTGTCTATCTAATTTCTTTTTCGTACATAGAATTCCTCTTTAATTTGTCATAAGAATTGAATAATGATCACTTATTTTGCTGAAACTGTATAATTTTTTATTTATATTGAACACTGTTTTATATATTGAGCTAGCATGCAGCATTGACTACTTTCCCTCCATGTCCACAATAGGGAATTGAGTACATGGATTATTTTGCTAATTAAAAGCTCAATGGAACTTTGGTAAGGTTGAAATTCAAACTGTTCAAAGAACTACTAATCTAATTTACACAAAAAAGACATGGCACTTTTTTCTTTAATGAAAATTCAATTGAAATTAAGATGTCACAACATCAATTTCTACATAGTACTAAGTACAATAAAAAAAATTGGTATTTTGTTTCCTACAAATTAAAACTGAAAAAAAAAAAGAAGCTCTAATTAAGCTTGTAATCCATTTCTTCAAATCCAATCTCTTCATTTTCATCCCCTCTCACAGTCGACTAGCCTAGCTTCAAGCCACCTTTGTCTGTTAACCCTTGCAATAAAACTTTCAACTCTTTTGTTCAACTCCTCGGTTGGCAAACCGGGCTCCTCTTCTTCACCTCTCTCCTCTTTCACCTTATTGTCATGATCATGATCACGACCACCATCATCCTCTCTTACTTTTTCTTCTCCTTTTTCTTTCTGAACGACATATTTTTTTTCAATTTTGTTCACACACTTGTCAATAATATTCATTTCCAATTTCCCTTCTTCTGTCTTCTCCGTATGAGTGGAGGATTCATGAATACTTCGACTACTTTCAACATACTTATCATAAACATCACTAGCCGGAGAAGAAAATGAGCTCGTGAGCTTTGATTCCCTGACTAGGTAGACAATGATGGCATTGCCCACAATGAACAAGCACTTGGGGCTGAAGAGGAAAGACTTCAAATTTGGGAGAGAAACAAAAATAAAGTGCTTCAAGGAATAAAATAGATGTGGAAACCAAAAGCAACAAAAAAATAGAGTACAAAGTAAAGATGTGACAAGGTGAAGAATGAGATTGGTGAGAAACAGACTATTCTTGTAGTTCTTCATGGCTTGAAGCTTCTTTGCCTTGATTGAATCCATTGTTGAAATGGGTATCTAGGGTTTGTGTTAACTAGTGAAGTTTCTAGTTGGGTTTACAGAGAATTTTGAGGGAATGTGTTGGAGATTAGTTAAGAAAGCAAAGAGGAGAAGATTCACAATCTGACTGAACATAAGGATGTGGAAACAAAGGCTTTATATAGTGGAGGAGAGAGGGATGATATTTTGGGGGATTCAACACATGTTGCCCTTTAGGGTTTTTTTAATATAGAGGACTTACTTTTTGAAAACCATTGTAGGTTGAAATTTGAAAATTATTTTTATTTTGAGTGCCTTGGTTTTGGCCTACTTTTGCTTTCCACTATTCCTGTTGGTTGTTTTTAATATTTCATGCAAGTAAAAATTACCTTATAAAGATGAGTATTAATAATACGTATTACTCTATTATATTTTTATCTCATATTCATCACATATTATTTTACAGTAAAAATTAATGACTAGAAGAGTATGAGACAGACACTAATATAAATAGTAGGATAAATGGTCTCATGCCCATAAAAATATAACAATCTAACATATTACAGCATCTTACGATAATTAAATGTAAACACTAAATTTTAGATATTATTTGAGGTGCCACTAATGTGGGTTTATTGAATTTGTGTTTCATGTCTTATATCAATACATTGATTACACACAAGATAGTATTCAAATTTTAATGAAAAATTATCCATTGTCCTAATTTTGCCTCCTTTACATAATTCTACCCCAAATGATGTACAATTAGAAAGGACTGAAGACGAGAAGAAAGAAGTGCAAGACTACTACATATGGGTCTTAGCCATATTATATTAGATATGGAATTTGGAGGGAAGGGGGCAAAATTAGAAAAATATAACATTGCTCAAATTTAATATTGAAATGTAATTATCGTAACGTTATTGGACTTGCAATGCTTCATTGGCTTTGTGACATCATATCAAAGTACAATAATGGAGGAAAAAGATAACAAAATTCATTGCATGTACATGTACTGATTTTGGTGTGAAAATGGGCAATTTATCAATACTATACATTCGTGGTAACATTGGTTGGTGTTCTTTTATTTATCTATTTATTTTTTTGCCAGTTGATAAAAATTGTTTATAAATGAGAGGGAACTCGGTCAAGACGATGATGGTATGGGCATGGAAATAGTGTGTCAACTTCCTTGAAGCCGTCATCAAAGCTAACGCAAGTTTTCCCAGCGGCAAGTACCTCGACTCTGCCGGTAGCAAGGTTTTGCTGACGTAGAAGATGGGTAGATGTTTGATTCCTTCCGACCGGACAAGCACTGCATTGACTGCATGCTGCGATATGGCCAGATAAAGGTAAAGTTCTTCTCCGGGCTCCGGTGTGACCAACAACGGCGCTGAAGACAAGTACTCCTTGAGCTCGGCCAAAGCCCGGTCACACTCTTCATCCCATGAGAACTTTGATTTCAAGGCTTGAAAAAAAGGGCGGCAGCAATCTGATGACCGGCTTATAAATCGGTTAAGCACGGCGGCCATTCCGGCCAGATGCTGCACATTCTTAGCCGAGCTAGGCTGTTTTAACTCTTGCACGACTCGGATTTGTGTAGGGTCTGCTTCGATACCTCGGTTCGTGACTAGGAAACCCAAAAAATTTCGGATCCCACGCCGAAGGCACACTTAGACACATTCAGGCGTAGCTCGTGCTTTTTGAGAATGGCGAACATTTCGGCCAAATCGGACAAATGGTCTGCTTGATGCCGACTCTTAACCACCATATCATCAATATAAGCCTCCGTTGTCTGGCCTAGCAAAGGAGCGAACATCTTGGTCACCATCCTTTGAAAGTTGCCTCGGTGTTCTTTAAACCAAAAGACATGACTCGGTAGCAGAAGAGTCTCCTTGGTGTAGTAAACGAGGTGATCTCTCGGTCGGGCCCATGCATGGCAATCTGATGGTAGCCGCGGTAGGCATCCAAGAAACTGAGCCTGTTATGTTCAGCCGTTAAGTCCACAAGCTGGTCTATTCTAGGCAGAGGGAAGCTATCTTTTGGACAAGCACGGTTGACGGTCTTGTAGTCAATGCAAACTCGCCACTTCCCATTCTTCTTGGGCACCACGACCGTGTTTGAAATCCACCGAGGGTAGTGCACTTCCTGAATTGCTCTCGCCTCAAGCAAGTTCTTCATTTCCTCCGCAACTACCTCGGCGTGATGCAGCGCCGATCTCCTTGTGCGCTGAATGAACGACTTTGCTCCGGGGAAGACATTGAGATGATAGCATATAAAACTCGGATCGAGACCGGGCATGTCGTAAGGTGACCATGTGAAGACTTTGATGTTGGCCATCAAAAATTCAACCATGTCGGTTCTTTCTTGGGCTGTAAGGCTTGAGCCGAGCAAGAAGAACTTGTCCGGATGCTCTGTATCAATGCGCACTTCCACCAATTCCTCGACAGCTTTGTCCTCGGCCTTGGTGCCCACATCGTCAAGGACTCCCCGGTCTTCCGGTCTCTCAATCATTTGGACGAAGCCTTTGGCAGCTCGGCTCCCGTTGACCGCCACGAAGCATTGTTTCGACATGACTTGATCGCCCTAAATCTCCTCGATTGCCCCCATAACCGAGGAAAATCTCATCACCTAATGATAGGGCGATGCTACGGCTTGCATAGCGTGAAGCCATCCTCTTCCAAGGATCAAATTATAAGTGGATGGCACCTACAACACCTAGAACTCCACTTGTTTGACCACGAATCCCGCTTTGACCGGCAGGATAATCTTTCCCAAAGGCCATTCCAGTTGTGAGTTGAAACCAACCAGTGGCGAAGTTACCGGGCCCAAATCTGTATCCCGGAACTTGAGCTGTTTGAAAGCGTCGTAGTACATGATCTCGACCGAGCTTCCTTGATCGATCAAGATCCGTTTGACATCAAATTCTTTGACGCGGAGTGTAACCACTAGGGCATCATTATGCGGCGTCTGAATGTGCTCCAAATCTCTTGAGGAGAATTTGATCACATCTTTCTCTTCGGTCTTCCCCCTCTTGATCGCAGGCTGAACCGACAAAACTTCCCTCATATGTTCTGCCTTCTTGATCATACCTCAGAGCTCGCATACACGCGTCGGTTCCACTATGTCTTGGATGACATTAACAATCCCTTGTGGAGGCACATCTCGATCATCCGGTCCCTGCGGGTCAACCGGAGCTTGATTGGCCTTCACGCGCCCCATCAATGTAAAGGTCCAGGTGTCCGGTTGCGACTAGCACTTCCAAGTGTTGCCTCAAAGGCAAACAGTCCTCTGTCCAGTGGCCTCGCTCTCGGTGAAACGTGTAACGGTACCTCGGATTGAAGCCCTTCTGTCCGTCGCCTAACTTAGCGGGAAACTGGATATATTCCTCGTCACGGATTTCACTAAGTATGCGATAAATTGGAATCTTAAAGACCGTGGTGATGCATGTCCTTGCTTTCAACCTTCTATTTGCATCGGCTATGTCATCCCAGGGGTAGTCATCTCGGTCATTCCGACGTCCCCTACCCCGATTTTTGCGATTAGTGCCACGGTCCGATTCCTCAGCGCGGTCGTTAGATCGGCCGGACTCCTGCCCGACCGCGTGTACTTTGCCAGCTGACCTCTTGTCCGCAACTACCGGAGTTGTTTTCGTGCTAGATGCTGACGCATCATCTTTCACAAGGATGCGCTAATTGATGCGTTGCATTAGCTGGCCCATGGATGTCGGCTGGTGCATGGTAAGCAAGTCCCGCAGTCTATGTCCGACCGGGAGACCTCGCTTGTATTGTGTGATTGCAAGGTTTATCGGGCAATCCAAAATCTCGTTGAAGGTCTCCCAATATCTGGAGTTGTATGCCTTCAATGTGTCGCTCGGTTCCATTTTGACACTCAGTAGGTGGTTAACTTCCTTTGGTGTTTTCGTGTTGGTTTTGAAGCGCGTCACAAAGGTCTCGGCCAACTGATGCCACCTTTCTATGCTCCCCTCCAGTAACCTCTCGAGCCATTTCAAGCCTAATTCGCCTAAACTTGACGAGAAGATGAGGCACATAAGTGCGTCATTCTGCCTATGCCTGGCCATGACCTGTCGGAAGTGACTCACATGCATGTAGGGATCGGTTTTTTCGTCATAGAGTGTGAATTTAGGCTGGTGGAAGCCTGCCGGAAGCGGTGTCGTTTCTATCTCTAAGGAGAAAGGGGTGGCGCTCAGCCTTGCCAAGTCTGTATCTAGAAGGAGTGGCACTGCTTGGCGAGGTGGAGGCATTCCGACCTCCTCGCTGGGGTGAACCCCATAGGATAGCCGCTGGAACACCGGCACCCTCTGAGCCTCCCGCCGGTGAGCTCGTTCCTTTAAGACTGCCCGCAAATCCTCTGAACGAGCGGAATAAGAATACCTCAACGTCGTCGTTAGATGTGAGGGTCGATAGGTGCTATCTTGCGCGCTGGACTTCTCTTCGTGCAGGTCGGAATCTCCAACCTTGTAACTTCTGGTGATGAAAATGGACGCAGTGTGTCGCTGACTCTGACTGCTTGAACGGCGGGGTTGGGTGCGCTCACTGTGGTCTCCCACTCTAGCTACACCCTTCCCTTTAACATGCCGCTTCAGCTCCTCTATCTCCGCCGCCATTCGCCGAATGACGGCGTCCTGGTCCCTTAACTTGTGTTCCAGACGCCTGGCATGTGATTCTCTCCGCCGCCGATGACCGTCTGGACTCTGTGAATGACCATAAACTTCTTCCGCGCTTATCCCGCTCATCTCTTGAATGTCCTCCTGGAGAAGTCTCCAGGTCCGCCATCGGAGAAACGATGGTGGGATGCCCTTCTCTCCGTCTGCCTGACTCCGGGGTAATTCCGTCGATGGCAGACAATGTAATCTCGTCGTTATTCACCATGGACGGCGATCAGATAAACCTGAAAGACAAGGTTTTGTCTGTCAAGTTCCCACAGATGGCGCTAATTGTATGGGGAGCAAATATTCAGGCAAGCCCGTATTCCTTTCTTCCAAGCTCCGTTTCTGTTCGATC